TCTATTATCTGGGTTATTTCAGGGTTGTGATCCAGATTTTATTTGTTTTATTGAGTCAAACCCTTCTATCCCTCCATTCTGTTTGTGTGAGTCTTGTCTGTCTGTTCTGTTGCTATTTTCATTATTTGGGTTATTTTAGGGTTGTAACTCGTATTTTAGGTTGCTTGTTTATTTGTAAAACTTTTTCATCCTTTACTCAATAAAATACAGTTTGTCCTTTCGTGTCATTCTGTTCCTAGTTCTTTTCTCGCTAGTTCTAGTGACATGACATGCATGCGGAAATTTTGGCCAGATCTTAGGAACTGATTTAATCTGGAATTCGATAACTAAAAAAATATTTTTGAGGATGAATAAAGAGTTGAGATACTTTGGAACTAAGGTCGAGTAAAATTCACTTTCAAATCATTATGAAGATCGGGCTTGAGGATGTTTAATCAATTAAAGTCTATTGGAAAGTTTGTCACTAAGTGATGAAAAATTGTCTTGTGACCACGGCACACCAAGAAGACAGACATGTTAGTCAATGCTGTGATCGCGAAAAGATACCATGTTTGACATTTTTGAGGTTGGGAGGCCCTCTTTATGCTATCCAAACACTTTATATCCTTCGCTACTCCTTTTGATATTGTGTTATTTTCTTTGACTACCCTCTTTTTGAATCAAGTTTAGAGTCAAAAGTCAAAAAAAATGGAAAAAAAAAGGTCCATGTCCCAAGAGTACAAACTGGGGCACTAATCAAGTGAAAAAATGAAGAAGAAAAGAACCGGCAAAGATCCATGCCCCTATAAAATAGAAGCTAGGGCAACCTATTTTGAAAACAAAAAAAAAAGACAAGGAAAAAAAAAGACAAAGAAAAAAAAACGAAAGATGAAAAATAGTTAGGTCAGATTTTGAACTACGTTCGACCTGATTCCTTAAAAAAGGATACGTAGGCAGTCTCACGGTTCGGTCCAACCAAATAAGAATTTAGAAGAAAAAGAAAAAAAATAGAAAAAAAGAAAAATCCAAAATCCCCAGTATCTGAAACTGGGGCAGAGATTTTATTTCATTTTTTGAAAGAGTCGATTCTAAGAGTTGTAAGTCTACAACCCCTCATTTTGAGTTCATTTTGAGCCTTCATGCCGACCTTTGTTTCCAACCCTATCCAAAAATCTTCCAAATAAAGACCTCTCGATGCGCCTTCAAGAATGCCAAGAGAAGCATGCACTGAGCAACGATTGTCACGCGACATAGAACACTGTCAAGTTGCCCACACAAGAAAGCAAAAGAAAAGGAAAAAGGAAAAAAATGAGAGAGTCTTACTAGTGAAAACCTTCACGGGCACTGTAAGGCGACGGTAAGCAGAGATGAATAAATGAGAGAGACTTGTTGGTGAAAACCCCTCGGGGCACCACTAGTCGAAAGTGAGTCATGAAGCTAATGCAAAGAATTGGCACGAACAAGCCCGGCTTCAAAGGTCATAAGAATAGTAAAAGGGAAGAGTGAATTTGTTTGATAGATCGGCCACTAAGTCCAAAATGCATGTCATGACCATTAGGGCTAGATATTGAAAAAAAAAAGCAAAAACTCTTCCTTCTGTCCTTCCGACAGGGGCATTTCTTGTTAATACTTGTTTCTTTGCATCATTGTGTCCTTCACTCTGAGTCAGTCCTTGTCAAAACAAGCAAGAAAAGATTTCAAAATATGCTACTAGCTTTTCAATTGCACAAAGTAAATTTGGCCAGCACAGTCGTTTGTTACTGTTAACATACCTTGAGGATTCATGCAAAGGCTCCCCCAAAAGACTCTCGTCAGCCTACTTGGCACAAGCAAAGACACCTTGTGATTCTCTCTGACAAACAAATTGCTCAAAAGCAGGAAGTCATTCAAGATATCAGAAAAGGTCGTCTAAGAAAGGATCTCCAGTTGGGATAATGTTGTTTGAGCCAGAAATACAATGGTACTGGGTGTGAAACAATTAGGGTTGATGCAGAGCAAAAGACTCTTGAAGCCGACTCAAGCTGTGAGCAGAAGCCAAGCTGCCCAAGACTCAAGGCCACAAACCGACCACCATTTTTAAAACTGATAAATTTTTCTTTGTATGAAACAGGAACAAAGCGGTGCAAGAAAAGTGATTCAAAAAGAGAAAAAAAATGAAAAGGAGAAAAAAACAAAAAAAGAGAAGAAAAAAGAAAGACGAGAGGAGCCGACAAAGGGAAGTTTCTCAAATCTTTGCCTTTATTTGTCTTGCTATTGTGCATTAAATCTTGCCATTTATCTTCACATTTTTCCTCCTAGGATAAAAAGTCCTAGTCTAATGGATTTTTCTCCCAATATAAATCTTAGTCTGATGAATTTTTCTCGTAAGATAAAGGACCTAGTTTGATGAATTTTCTCCTAGGATCAAAATATTAGTCGAATGAATCTTTCTCCTAAGATAATAAATTAGAAGACCTAGTCTGATGACTTTTCTCCTAGGATCAAAATATTAGTCGAATGAATCTTTCTCCTAAGATACCGAAAAAAGAAACCTAGTCTGATGAATTTTCTCCTAGGGTAAACGTCTTAGTCTGATGAATCTTTCTCCTAAGATACCGAAAAAAGAAACCTAGTCTGATGAATTTTCTCCTAGGATCAAGATCTTAGTCTGATGAATTTTTCTCCTAAGATACAAAACCTAGTCTGATGAATTTTCTCCTAGGATCAAGATCTTAGTCTGATGAATTTTTCTCCTAAGATACAAAACCTAGTCTGATGAATTTTCTCCTAGGATCAAGATCTTAGTCTGATGAATTTTTCTCCTAAGATACAAAACCTAGTCTGATGAATTTTCTCCTAGGATCAAGATCTTAGTCTGATGAATTTTTCTCCTAAGATACAAAACCTAGTCTGATGAATTTTCTCCTAGGATCAAGATCTTAGTCTGATGAATTTTTCTCCTAAGATACAAAACCTAGTCTGATGAATTTTCTCCTAGGATCAAGATCTTAGTCTGATGAATTTTTCTCCTAAGATACAAAACCTAGTCTGATGAATTTTCTCCTAGGATCAAGATCTTAGTCTGATGAATTTTTCTCCTAAGATACAAAACCTAGTCTGATGAATTTTCTCCTAGGATAAACGTCTTAGTCTGATGAATTTTTCTCCTAAGATACAAAACCTAGTCTGATGAATTCTCCTAGGATAAACGTCTTAGTCTGATGAATCTTTCTCCTAAGATACCAAAAAAAATAAAAAAATAAAAGAAAAGGACCTAGTCTGATGAATTTTCTCCTAGGATTAACGTCTTAGTCTGATGAATTTTCTCCTAGGATTAACGTCTTAGTCTGATGAATCTTTCTCCTAAGATAGAAAACCTAGTTTGACGAATTTTCTCCTAGGATATTGTGGAAAAAAAAAAGAAGAGGAAGTTTGGATTTGAAAAAAATGGGTCAATTTTTAGTTTTCTTAATATTATCAATGTTTAGTTTTCCTGAAATCAGGGGGCCCGCCTGGAGAATATGATGAGTTTTTACTTTAGTCAAGCTTAGTTTATAGTTTTCCTAGTCTATTCTTTAGTTTACTCTTATCATTGCATCAATAGTACAAGTGGTTTACAATTTTGCTAACAACTCACAAATTTCCTAGTGCAAACTGGGGCAGAAAAAAATTCTTTTGTTTTGTCTGTTTTGTTGTAATCAGTCGTCACCTGGAGAACAAGGGCAGACAATTCAAGTTTCAAGGGAAAGCAGTTTCGAAGGAAGACAACTCAAGTTTCTAGGGCAAGCAGTTTCGAAGGAAGACAGTTCAAGTTTAGAGGGAAAATGGTTCAAGGCGCAAAGGAAAACAGTGTCAAGTAACAAGAGAAGACGGTTCAAGTTCATCAATCAGGTACCTACCTGGAAAAAAAAAGGGAATTCAGTTCAGAATGCAATTCAGGTCAGCAACAAAAGAAGCTCGCGTCAAGAATGCGAGTCAGCAGTCCAAGATGATCAACAGAAGCTAGTCACAATCCAGAAAAAAATAAAATAAAATAAAATAGAAAGACAAGAAGTGAATCCAAATGCAAAAGTTAATGAAAGATGTGAGCTGCTCAAGACAGGGCTGAGGTCACAAGCTCTGCATGTCCCGTCTAGGTTTGAAAAGCTGAAGAAGATTGAACCAACACCTGCGGCTAACAAGCATCAAGATTCAGATCAGGGTCTGCATGAAGAACCAACTAAGACTCAAGATCAAGCTTCAGAAGTCTCATAGATAGGAATATTGTAACTCATAGCTGATAGGCTTAGTTAGTCTTTCTTATTTTTGATTTTGATGTAATAACGGGACCGCGGACCAAAACCTCGGTGGAACGGCACCTTGACTGGCTCTCCACCTCGGTACTCCATCACCTCATGCACCTCTAAACTACACGTGGCCTGATTCCTTTATAGCCAAGGATATGTAGGCAGCTCAGATACCAGGACTCTGTCACATTCTCTTTCCTCTTAGTTTAGTCTCTCCAAATAAGGGTCGGGTAAAAAAACCCGTCTAGTCGTTCTTTGTCTGAAAATGCTTCGTATTTCCAGTCAAAGATGGGCAGTTGTAGACATGTGATTTTTGACCCTCCCCAAGATTTTTTATATTTTAGCATGTAAATATTTAATTTAGGCCTAATATAGCTATTTCAACTATTTTTGACTCCTTTACTTTATTTCCGTCATAAAAATTGGAAATTACAAAAAAAAATTACGTATCTTTCATAATTTTAAATAAAAAAAATATACAAAAATAGTACCTTATTTTTATCTTTATATAATTTCGAAAATACAAAATAGTTTCGTGTTTAGTTTAATTAATTAGGATTAGCTTTGACATTGTGTAGTATTTCTATCTTATTTTAAAAGGCAGTGTCTACTATAGGGACCCTTCTAGACTCTTCATTGGGACAAAAAATAAATAAAAAGACCCTAAGGACTTAACACAAAAGGACCTAGGGACTAATTGGCAAATACACAAAAAAAATACACCTAGGGACCTAAATTAGACCTAGACCCTAGGATATAGAGATGGGCCGCAGAGAACAAAAAGGAGAACCCTCCCCGGTCTGATCTTCTTCTAAAAAGAAAAGGAGCCATTTTCCATGGCTTTTGGTTGAAGAAGAATGAACAGCAACCTTTCCTCTCTCTGCATTTCCCAAACTGCGACAGCTGCCGGAAACAACCAGTCCCCACTAGCTTCATCTTCTTCACGGCTTGGACACAAGGAAACCCTAGAAACTCAACGAATGAACCATTGCTGAAGTCAAACTCCTTCTTCGCTCGTTGGATCTGGTCGTCGAAGTTGTCTTGGTGACGACGATCTCCGAGGAGCCATGAAAACCGGTCAGAAGCTCCGGTAAGAGATCAAAAATCCAGCTCTTTTGCCAAACTCCTCACCTCCAAAACAGTCTCTGAAAATAGATAAAGCGTCTTAATCAAGTCGAGTTTCTCGTTGGTTCAAAGTCGAGTTGAGTCTGTTTAGCGCTGGTTGGAGTACGGGTCCGACGAGATCGTCCGTTCATTAGTTCCGCTCGCGGTTCGAAGGTTTGTTTGCTGGTCTTTGGTCGTTTTCCAGACGAGGATACACGTTGTTCAGTTTCTTTTGGGTAATAATTTTAAAGGCAACTATTCATTCATTTGAGGTCCAACTCTTCCCCTCTTATTTTCATCTAATAGTCTTGATCTTTATATGATTATAGACATGTTTTAATGTTTGTTTTGGACTGTTTGATTCTCTATTTGTTTGAGAATATTGTTTCTGAGATTGGCAAAGGGAGCGTGATTTGGTGTTGCAATGGTTGTTTGCAATTTTTATGAATATGCCCGTTTGTTCTAAATTTGGTTATTAATTCCTCACAAACTTTACTACCAAGATGTCGAATATCTATTATCTATTCTGATATATCAAACTCTAGATAGAGAACATTGAGAGTTGGTAAAGTTATGGTGGGCTATTCAAAAGATCGAAGAATTAAAAGTCAAATACTTATTAGCTTGTCAACATTAAAAAGAAAAATGTGACCACAATGACACATCATGCAATTAATTGGTGCACATTTGATATCGACGTGAATGGTTTCATTTTCAAGAGGGTTTTAGGTTTTTTTTTCACTTGCTTTAGCATTTGAAGTTTGCAGCTTTGTTTTTGTTAAAAACTCATTCTTTCTGTCCATTTTGGGTAAAGCATATGGGATTATTGCTATTGAGTGGTTAACTTAGCTTTGTTTCCTCCCATTCTTGGGCAATTTGGGTGTTGGATTTGGGAAAGATTTGAGTATGTCGTTAAGAGTTGGAATACATGCCTGTTTGTTTGTTCCCTATTATTTGAGTTTAATCACTCATGTTTGTTGTGTTTCCATAGTTCGATATCTGCTAAATTGTTCGTTCCTTACATTATTGGATTGAACATGTAGTTGCTGGGGTTTGAAAGTTTCAAAAGAGAAGAACGAAGTGCTTGACATAAGTCATGGGGTGCTGGATACTAAATGAAAGTAAAATTGGGTTTAACATGTTTTGTTGTGTTACCTTAAGCACGTAATTGAATCATCGCAACTATGGGTACGGTTCCCGTGACTTAGTTGTGATACATCCTTCCTAAATTCGGGTGTGCATTTATGTGACCCAAATCCAAATCTCAACAACGTTAGTTAAAATGTGTCGTGGACTGTGGGTGCATTTATGTGACGTGGTCCATGACGTGTTTTAAATAGCGTTGAATCTTCTTAAAAATGATTAAAAGCGGTTAATAAATTAAAATCTACCATAGGCTAAAACATGTGTTAAAATCAGATAATAAGCCAATAATAACAGTTAAGCGACCGTGCTGAAACCACGGAACTCGGGAATGCCTAACACCTTCTTCCGTGTTAACAGAATTCCTTACCCGGATTTCTGTGTTCGCGGACTATAAAACAGAGTCAATCTTTCCTCGATTCGGGATTTGAACCGGTGACTTGGGACACCATAATTATCTCAAGTGGCGACTCTGAATTTAATAAATAAATAATCCCGTTTCGATTGTCACTTTAAGTTGGAAAAAACTCCCTTACGGGGGTGTAGGTAAAAAAGGAGGTGTGACAATCTCATAGAAAAGCTAACCTCCATCGGTGATAAATTGATTGTCATCAAGGATTTACCGGTCTCCACACAAACCACAATTGAAGACATCCATGGTATGTCAAAGGAGACATGCTTTGATGTATCCAAGATAAGAGATCAGATCCTCAGGACAACAAAGAATGTAGTGAATGCCTTCAAGGAGGTACATGACAGGCTCGATAGGATATCAGTCACAGTTAATGCTAGCTTTGATCGCCTCAAGGAGGCTATTTGCAACACCCTAACGTATTTTTTGCGTCGTTGATGCATGGTTGTTTAAGACAATTTCTTTTGGTTTTGTTTATGTTTGGACTGATTGTTCAGTCGTGGGGTTGTACTGTTAAGACAATTACTTGCTTTTGCATGCTTAACTAGCTAGTTATATCTTGCTTAGTCCTATTATTTGCCTATAAAATGCCTTTTTGTTGATACCAAAGGGGGAGAAAGATTAGGTAAGAAGCCTGCAGGTAACTTTCAGGAGCAATCTTTTTGGCTGCACAATTGAGGGGGGTCGACTACAATAAACTAAGAGTCGACTAATATACAAGGAAGAACACTGATGCTTAATTGAGGGGGAGTCAACTACAACTGACGAAGACATACAGGGAAGTAAACTGATTTTATTATGTTATTTTGTCATCATCAAAAAGAGGAAGATTATTAGATTCATGTTTTAATGATGAAAATAACATATCTCTGTTTGCAGGAACACTCCGAGGCAAAGGAAAGGAAGGGAGCGAAAGGAAAAGAAGATAGTCAAATATTAGCAATAGAAGACAAGAAAGGAAGAAGTAACGAAGAATTAAAGAAAAAATCTTCTCAAGATATGACAGGCGATCGAAGGAAGTTATTAAAGGAAGGAACAAAGTCAAAGAAAGACAAGACTGCTCGAAATTCATTGTGTTTGTCTATCAATGCACCGGAGATTCTCCTATCAAAGGAAAGCAATTAACTTCAAAAATTAAGGGATTTACCTTAGGATGTTCGAATAATAGGAGGATTTGCTCAAAGAAGGAAAGCTCTATCAGAGACCACAAGTCAAGGCAAATTAATAGAAGCTTTACATTTATTCTTAAAAAGAATCAATCTGCGATTCCTTCCAAGGATCAATTCCCTTGGGTCCACAATCTCTCAAGATTTCCATCATCAAAAATCAAGGCAGAATCCTTGAAGTATGTATATCCAGAGACGACCAAGACAAGAGACATACTTTGATCGAACCAACTTTGTGCTCTTTGTTCTACTTTAAACAAGCATTGTAATCTAAGTGTAGTTTACCGTGTAACTAGTAGAGAGAAGAAAGAGAGAGAAATATTGGTGAGGCTTTGTATCAAAGTTACAACGAGTGTACTTAGAACCAAAAGGCAGTTGGTGTTCGCTGAAACATCAACATACTGTACGACGTATTTCAAGGAGCTTTGAAGAGAGAACATCCTTGCAACCCAAGGGCACTGAAATCAAATTCATATTGAATCCAAACCAGTATAAAATTCTTGGTGTCATTTCATTTCAGCACTTTACCTTTTGTCTTTAACTTTTACCGCAATTCTATCNCCCCGCACTTTCACCAACAACTTAGATAATAACTACTTGCAATGTACATGGAAAAGCATGAGTTGGTTTACTAAAAAATCATCATACCATAATGTACATGTGAATTCTAAAAAATCTTGAATTATTCATAGATTGTTATGACAATCTTTTCCTCCAGAGTGTATGAACTGTTCTAGGACCTCAAAATAACAACTGTGTAATGTAAACAACAGAGTACACTATTTGCACAGAATGTCAAGTAACTAACTCCGTGTTTAAATTCCAAGCGGTAACCTTACACTTACAGCACTCTATTAACAGGAGGACTAAGGTAATCTCTTGCCCCTAATCTCCTATTGCTACAAAAATCTGATCTCTAAACGGGACAACTGGAAAAAATATTTTCCTCAACTACTGTTGCACAGGTAACTTACAAATTGGCCGCGACATTTAGTGGAGACAACTTCCAGAAGCAACATTGACTGAGCCCATTAACCAAAAGGAATGAATCAATCTGTAAACAATCTGCCAGCCTACTGTGTTTGACGGCAATGAGCTCTAATCATCCTCATCTGATGGCAGAGTGGGACTCTTTGAGCACATGTCTTTTGCATGAAGTTCCAACATTTTCTTCTCAGGATTACATAGACCTAGAGGATAAAGTTAATATAAGAATGGCATCAGCTAGTCGGCAAGAATAAGTAGTGTGATGAAACATATTTTAAAGACATCTAAAGCTGTAGCAGTGGTGATTTAATTGCCAGATAAAAGGGCAAGTATCTCTTATAGAAGATGTAAAAGGTAATATGCAAAAAGAAGATTTGGGGCTCTAATTAATATCATCTAGTGCAGCTGTTTCAGACAACTGAGATTCACATTTACACAAGGAGATCAAGAAATCAAGTGTTAAGCTGCAACAAGAAACAGATAACCAACAGATTCCATAGTCTTGGAAGAAAATCATACAATGAACTGCGACTAAAATTATCAATTAGTATATAACTCAACACATAGTAGTATGTACCAGATATTCTTTTAGTAAAATATGTATCATGTGAAGGAAACAGCAAAATTTCCCATTGACAGTGCAGCACAATTCAGATTCATGATCCAACAACATGCATCAAGACAAAAGGTTTATTTGCCATTTGTCTCTATGCTTCATGTTCAAATTCAAGATCCAAAATGCATCTCAGCAAAAAGCTCATTTGCTATTTGTCCTTACAAAAATTCAACAGGGTAACATCTGTGAAGCACTGATTTTCGAAAGAATAGGACAGACCTGAACACTTGGGAATATCCCACACAGCAATGGATGAAGGGGTACACTCTGGTTCACATAGTTGCCGATTATCCTCATGATTGACATTCATCGCAAGCATCCAGGAACCAATAGTAACATCCTCATTGCTAAACATTCGGAAACTGAAAAATTTACAGCAAGAGGAGATAAGTAAGGAGCTATTACGCTTTGACTAGAATAAGTGGAGACAAAAAGGTTGAATAAAAATAACGAAGCAGGTCTAAAAGCAATGTGATGTGTAATATGTATCCAGCTTTTATGATAAAGATCTTATGCTATCTTATAAATGAAGTTGGGATCTTATTTGATGAGAAAAAAGGGGTCCTCCTGGGTCAATCTGGCAGGCCAATAAGAGCATATTCCTGATGGAATATATCCAACAGCTGTAAATAGGACCTATTACTAGCTTTTTTAAAATAAAAAGGGTGTAGTGTACCCTTCTGAACAGATCAGTTACAGAAAATTTCGTACAAAGCCAACTTACCTGTTATTCCTGAGAGCAACCAAACTCATAACAACATCAGCAGAAAGAGCATAAATAGGACCATAGGCATGGAGAAAATACTCCTTTCCAAGCATATATCCAAGTGGTTCATACCTGCATCGGTTTCACAAAGACAACAATGATGATAACAACAACCATATTACATAGACAACATAAATTCTTTACTAGTCTGCAGTCATTATAAAAGTACATCTATGTTCTTTATTTTCTTTTCAATAAGTGAGAAAAAAAAAATTTATAATATACAGAAGTTATATCTTTCCTAAGAAGATCGGTGAGAGTTTATTGTAAAAAAATATAAGGGTCTTCACATGATATTTATTTATCTATAGAAAGAATATGATAGAGAGCGACCAAATAGTTAGCGGTGTTACGATTCATATCAAACCATAAATGCCACAAAGGGTATGTATGATGAAATTGTCACAGGAAAAAAAAAAACATTCGAGAAGATACAGAGGAGTTTCACATAACGTAGGTTTACACCAGGGATCTTCCTTGAGCCGTTACTTGTTTACACTGGTTGTTATTGAGCAAACTAATAGTATGTACGATGAGATTCACTGTTGTATGTTTTCTTTCTCTTTTTTTTTTTTGGATTGGTAGATTCAGTGTTGTATGTTATTAGCAGATGAGATCCTAATAAAATTAAAATAGGATGGCTGAAATAGAGGAGTGCTACAGAAGTAGGAAGACACCTATCAAAGTTAAACCGCAAACGTAAGTACGATTTTGAAACCAGAAATATTTATACTTGAGCAAATGTTGAGGCTCTAAGAGCTAACATATTCACAAGATAATATTGTTGAAATATTGATGTCAGAGATGGACATGAGGTCATATGAAATTAGGCAATATAAAATATCATCACATCCAACATGTGCAAAGTAGCACATATAGAGAATAAAACAAGAGAATATCCTTAGATATGGTTTAATCATGTCCTACATTGACATTTAAATGCTTCGCTATATAGGTGCAATACTATGATGATTGAATGTATTAAAAAAGATAAGGTGTAAATATATATATATATTTGGGTTATTCCACATCGGTGGGATTTGAGGTTCTTGGTCTCCTTATATGGACTTGGGCAATCATCACCTCTTGAGCTAGCTTTTTTGATTGAGTTAGGCTCAAGGTCCATTTATTATCTTGAGCTAACATATTCACAAGATAATATTGTTGAAATATTGATGTCAGAGATGGACATGAGGTCATATGAAATTAAGCAATATAAAATATCATCACATCCAACATGTGCAAAGTAGCACATATAGAGAATAAAACAAGAGAATGTCCTTAGATATTGTTTAATCATATCCTACATTGACATTTAAATGCTTCGCTATATAGGTGCAATACTATGATGATTGAATGTATTAAAAAAGATAAGGTGTAAATATATATATATAGTTGGGTTATTCCACATCGGTGGGATTTGAGGTTCTTGGTCTCCTTATATGGACTTGGGCAATCATCACCTCTTGAGCTAGCTTTTTTGATTGAGTTAGGCTCAAGGTCCATTTATTATGGTATCAGAGCAGTAGGACACATCCCGATTTTTCGATGTTGGGCTCCCATAATTGTCCACGCTCCATATGTCCAATCCTGGGCATGAGAGGGGATGTTGAGCCCGACATCGACAATGAAGGGGATAGGTTGTCTCCTTATATGGACTTGAGCAATCCTCGCCTCATAAGTTAGCTTTTGGAGTTGAGTTAGGCTCAAGATCCATTTATCATGGTACCAGAGCAGGACTCACGTCGACAATGAAGGGGATGGGTAGTCTCCTTCTATGGACATGAGCAGCCCTCGCCTCTTAGGCTAAATTTTTGGGTTGAGTTAGGCCGAAGGTCCATTTATCATGGTATCAGATTCAGGCCCATCTCATTTATTGTTATGTTGAGCCCCCATTTATGTTGTCCACGCTCCAGTTTGCAGTCCTGGGCATAAGGGGGTGTTGAGTTGTCCCACATCGGTGGGATTTGAGGTCTTTGGTCTTCTTATATGGTTTTGGACAATCCTCACCTCATAAGCTAGCTTTTAGGCCCAAGTTCCATTTATCATATATATATATATATATATATTATTGTATATAATAATTTACAATATCTCAAGATCCACCCAATGTAGTCTAAAATAGACACTACAGAAACAAATGATCCTTATACAGGTAACAGTTGTAGTTGTTTGCAGATTCAGACTTTTCAAATTATACCCATTGGCAATTAAGTACAAATTTTCCGTTTCAGGTTAAGTATTGAACTCAATTTTCCCTTAAAAGCTACTCTGATTTCTCTCTCCACCGAACCAAACAAACTTTTATGTTCTCTGTCTACCATCAGCACAGGCTTCACAGCATGTATGGCAAGACATATTCTGCTGATGATCAATTGTAAGTAATCCAGTAAATAACGGGTCTTTACCCACTTTTCCTCAATGAAAGTCATTTACTTGAAGAAAATAGAGGAGAGAATTCCTGCTAGTATAATGGGAACTGAAGTCACAAGGGCAGTTCGGCATTTGTTATTTGTCAAATACAACTTACAACAACAACAACAACGACCCAGTATAATCCCACAAGTGGGGTCTGGGGAGGGTAGTGTGTACGCAGACTTTACCTCTACCCCGATGGGATAGAGAGATTATTCCCGATAGACCCTCGGCTCAAGAAGACGATTGTCAGATACAAGTTGAAAAACTTAAATTTAAATAGTCTTGATCCCTCTTATAAAATGAGTATCTGCGGGGAGATTTGGGAAGGTTTTTTTCTACGGGTAAGGTATGCGTACACGCTACCCTCTCCAGACTCTACTAGTGGGAAATATATTGGGTTTATTATTATTGTTGTTGCTGTAAAAAATAAGTACAAATTCAACAATATTATTAGAGAATTAGAAGAACAACAGTTAAGTGAAATATATGAAATAAACATCATAATAATCAAGTTAAAAATACCATGTCAAATTTCTAAATCAAACAGCAAAGACAACTGTAAATTTCTAATTCTGATTTAGTAATTGATTTTGTTTTTTTTGAACAGGAAAAAAAGAAGCTGCTAAGTCAATAGAAAACTAGTTGATTTTTGATATTCAGGTCAGCTTGCGTGTACTTCGACTAACTCCACGGATTACCTACTACCTCCTACCAGCACAAGTGTCGGGTAACTACGTCCATCAATGCTTGGATAGATGGGAAGAAATCACGTAATTATTTTGCCTTTGCGGGGGTTGGAATTTGAGACCTCAGGGTTTTCAACCCACTTTATTAACAACAAGGTCACACCCTTGGGTGCAAAATACCAGTTGATTTAGCAACTAATTTCTTGTATTAAATTTCTAATTTCCTATTTTTAGTAAGTACCAAATTCATTTACAATGGCTTCTTAACGATTAATATGACACTTTACCGGCTAAACTTGTTGTTTAGCGTCCTTTTCAAGATAGAGCCCCTGGGTGATGAGGTGCTCGCCTTAGCTCTTGTGTGTCTACACTTAATCACAGCCTAATCCAGGTGCGGTTTCCATCCTATGTGTCCTGAGCTTAAACAAGACTGATATTAGTGTGCTTAGTTCATCTTCATCTCCTTAACCATTTATATAGTTCTCTGTTTTTAGGCAAGTGTTTATTTCAATATTTCAGATCCGCCACCATGCCCTATTTAAGAGTCAAGTTGTAACCCTAAGAAAAGTGAGTTTGTGTGGTAGCTTGGTCGGCCACTTAAACTGTATTGTAACTAATTACTTGTATCAACCAAAATATATCCAAAATCTGATCTTATTGGTCCTCGAAAATAATACAAAGCAATTCAAGATGGAATGGAGAGACTAAGTTTCCACATGTATAGAGCAAATGATCTAGATAGCGTCATACTGGGAATATATCAGCATCCAGGCAACTTATTAGACTCACCATTTGAGCTTGGGGTCAGTGAAAACTGGACCCTTTTTCATGCATCCAAGGTATGTTTGTGAGTGAGACCGCTCTTTGACCAAGAGCAGTGAAAGGCGATCTGTAATGGAAAATTAAAGCAACTCAAGCACATCAAAATTATAGAATATGGTAAATGCATAATATGAACTTCAAGTAAAGAACAGTAATAATAGAAGGTTTCAAAGTTCTAGTCACCTGGCCGCAAATATATGTCGTCATCAGCTTTAACATAAAACTCAGAATCATAAAGCACATAGGCAGCTTTGAAAAAAGCTATGCTGTAAGAACAACTTGGGTAAGTATAGGTGACAAAAAAGAGGGTATGAATTATACAAGAGAGCGAGAACTAACGTTTTGTATGGGAGCTTACTGTACTCCTCTTCAATGTCTAATAGTAAAAAATCATCATATTCCGCTATCTCTTTCTTAAGCTCTGCCATTTTGGATTTATCACTTGTTCTACCAATTATAAATCTAAAAGCCAAGCCCGTGGCTTCTTCTAACCTGCAATTCCGTTTCAGTAGGTTTAGCAAATAATAGTTTCATAAATGCATAGAGACCAGGCAATACAACTGCATATACACATAACAAATAAGGGAATTGCATAGAGTTCATTAGTGAAACATCTCGCTCTGAGTGCTTAGTAAACAGCTTTTTGCAAAAGGAACATAAAACGTCTCACCTTTTGGATTAAGATGGCCAGAAATTTCCAATTCAATTCAACAATACCAAGATAATGTTGCTCTATGAATCGCTCAATTTGAACATGCTAAATTAAGATAATTTATGTAACTGCATGTTATACACATCGCTTTGTTCCCCATGAGTTCTTGCTAGTCAAATTTCATGACACAAGCAAATAATATCACAGCGCTTACAATAGTGCTATCCAGAAAGTAAAAAGAGAGAGAGTGTTCATTAAGTTATTTTTTATAAACAAATACTCCTAACATGCCATTTTGATTATTAAGGTCATTTAAACAAGATTTTCATCTTGATGATTAAACGAACAACTTACATTGTAAATTCATTCTGCTCTAGTTTTGTCAATTTCATTTGAGTACTAAACACTCTGTATTTTAAAGTAAAACTAAAGGTTCTCTAAATCACACACGTATCCTTACAAACATACCTAGTTTAATCCCAGCTATATTTACAAGTGTTTCCATTCTGTCATTTTCTTAGCTAAGTCTGTAAGGTTTTACGAAAAATTAACAGCAGATCAATAAACTAAAAAAAAATACTAATGTAATTACATTCATTACAATTTACAACAAAAAAAAAAAGAAGGTAATACCTTTGAAGGCCTTGATGATCAGAGGGAAACCAAGTCTGCCGCAAAGACCGGCGACGGCCAGTGGATCCGAACCCGGTTTGGATCCCAACAAAGCCCATAACTTTATGCCTCTTTTGCCCTTCATCTAAAAGGCCCGTAGCTTTACTGGAACTTTTATCCCACACAACAGAAACAGATCGAGGTTCAGCATATTTACATTTGTGCCCCAAACCTTGCCTCGAAATTGCAATGAAACCGAATACAAACCCAGCTAGACCGATAAGAGAACAAAGAATCAGAACCGTCGATCTACGGGAGTTAAGGGGAGAGGAAGATGGCCAAGCATTGAATGATTTAGGAGATGAAGGCATTGAAAGAAAAAACAGAACTTGCCTTTTTTGGGAATGGAAAGTTGAAAAAAATGGTGATTTGTGAGTTTATGAGTTTTTCATAAGTGTTGGGTATTGATGTGTGAATTACTAAGAAGTTTAATGGCACAAAGGAGGTACAATTTACAGAAATTGAAAGTTCAAGATTCAGTGGGTGAGGGGTTTAAGGGGGGAGAAGAGGGAAGAAGAGCAAACTTTACGTTTCAAAATTGGTGTTGGGAGTTGAGGTAAGCTCTCATTTTGGAAGTTATATTAAAATTTAAAACCTCTGCTCTGTTTGTTGTGCTGCCTATGTTGGGTCGTCTTTCTCTTTCTTCCTTTTTTTTCCTTCTTGGAATTGATATATATTTATTTTTAGTTTCCTCATCACTTTTACATCATTTTGAGACAAAAAATTTATGTTAACATTATTCATTTGTTTGTTTGTTTTGGTTTCACCTTTTGTAATGAATGAGAGTAGGCTAGAGAAAAGTTAGAAAAAAGGGAGAGGAGAAATATTTGGTGAGATGAGAACAAACCATTCTAGTAATAGTGAAGTCGTAAACTTGATAGGCTCGCTCACAAAATAATAGCTAAAATATATATATTTTTTTGTATATATATATATATTTATATGTTATGTACAAAAATTATACTAAATTTATATATTTTTTCGGCTACCAAAGTAAATAAGTGATATTTACCAAAAAAATACTACAACTAACAGAGAGGTGGTGGAGGGGAAACCGTACACTTGGTGATGCCGGGTAAAATTCTATACGCAATGCTTATTAGTGAGCGAGGTTAACCTTTTCATAGAGCTTATTAGTCAACCTTCTCATATTAGACGAAGATAATTATTATGTTTTGTTAAAATTGATAATTAGAGAAGGACAAAATAATATTATCATAAGAAGTAGATCACTAGGAATAGCGTGATGGAGTATTCTACAAGTTAAACTAGTCTCCAATGCGTCTAGGGGTTGCTAGCTGATTCTTTTTGGGGGCTATTTCTGCTTTTCTCTTCAAGTTTTGTTCATCGGTCTTGAATTATTCTTTACCCTCATAGTAGTTCTTTTATTTTCCCTTTGACAAAGTCCACTAGCATTATGCACAAGAACTAAAAAATAATCAATGTCATTTCCCGTTCCCTTGGAATACATTAATTCTCTGTGACACTTCATCTAAACAAAATTGTCTTTCCTCATGTATCTGCAAAGTATCTACTCTACAACCTACTTCCCGGTGGCTGCTAAACGTCACGGCCGATAATTCCTGAGAGAGTTTTGAGCACTCACCACGCAGAGCATGAACATCTGGGACCTCCTCTAGTTGCAATTTATTAGAGTCCGACTTCCTGATTTCAGTTTCAGGCTCTAAATATTTATTAGAGATATTTCCTTCACAACCTTGCCCAGGCTCATGAGTTTCTATATCGAAAATCTTGTTTTCCATAAACCATACAGCTGATTCCTCATGGGAGGTCCTGGAAAATTGACCATCAAGATTATTACCACCTTGATCTTCATTGAATTGCAAACTCTCAGACTGAGGTAGGTGTCTGACATCAGCTCCTGCATTGGCATCTTGAGATGGCAAATGATGTTGAATCGGCTCAATAATGGCGACGCCATTTTCGTGGCAGGATGCTGCTTCTCCCGGATGAACTGTTTTCAGGTATGAACATATTAGTTACAGTTTTTAGTATCTCGCCAGATTGTTATGTTTAAAAAAAAAAATTCTTTGAAATTGAAGAACAACAAACACTAAGCACTCACCACTCAGTTGATCTGCCTCAGCAGCTTGAAACAAAGACTTCTTCAACCATACAGTTCCCGGGAACACCATGAGGTTGATATGACTTAGATTTTGTTTCTCGCTATCTTCCAAGAGTTCAAAGCCAAAGCCAGCTGTCCATGTTTCCACTAAACTTGGAATAGCTGATATTACAAGTTTCTCAACCTTGAAACAATTTAGCATCTAGAAGCCATGATCAAGGGAAACTGATAAGCATACATTGGATAAAAGATGATATGCATTGAAAGCCAGAGAGTCGAGGAAAAGGTAGTGTATGTAACAAGCAAGGGATGATAAACTAGACTCAGTTCATAACCACAGAAAGTAGGCAACTTCCATCTCTCTCTCTGCATTTTAAGAAAAAAGGAGATTTGCCATGTCAAGATAGATGATCTTTTACGGACCAGATTTAGCAACTTAATGAGACTCAAGATTACCTACATCTATCAGATCCAGCTATACCAGGAACTACTTGAGATCAGAAGAAACTTTCATCACTAAAGGAAAAATCAGTCAGAATTCTGGCACAACTCTTAACTTAGAACAATGCTAGAGTCATATTAAGTACTGTAAATTATTCCTATTAGACAAAATGTCCCCGCTAGTGGGATTATACCGGGTTGTTGTTGTTGTTGTAGACAAAATGTCATTTTTCTGATTTATTCGGAACTTGGTTGCGTCTCAAATCAGAAAGTTAATATTGATAAGAGTAGCCTTTGAAGAGAAACATATAATAAAATGCTTTTAGATTTATTCACTCGGAAGGATGGTACAAATCTCATATTCTATATAAATTATGATATTTTTTTTCTTCTGATATTTGGGTTGCTAAGATGTTCTAGCTGACTCGTATCTCATGATATCTTATACACTTCACTACTATCATATGTTTATTAGCATGTTAAGCATTTATGTTAAATCATTCAACGGTTTGTTTAATCTTTAAAATCATACATAATTTTAATGCAATTTTTGTTATTTTTTATTTTCATACTACTAATAATTAGTATTATTAAAAAAATCATGGGATTTACGCCCATTTCCCAAGGGCTTATATGCCGCCTGGCAATAAGTAAAAAACTGTGCGGGACCCCCAGAGTTCAAAACACTGTTTCCTGGTCAAATTACCTCCTGTATAGAATTCAGTAGGCGCCTGCACATTCCCTGGCGACGGTATTTACTGCATGTTGCAATAAGGGGCATCTCAGCAACTGTTACTCCATGGATCCTGCATAAGAACCAAAATTCTGATTCAGAGAAAGATTTGTCCTGATGGGAAAAAAAATAAGAAAGATTTGTCCTGATTTTAGTGACAGTTTCTTCAAACAGCCAGCAGGGTAGCCACGGACAGTGGCAGATCCAGAATTTATAAATTGTGGGAACTTCACTGATATTAGTGTAAATTCACAGTGGCACAAAAACTAAACATGGGTATTCATTTGGGTCAGATCGATCAGTTTTTGAGTTAAATCAGATTGATTTACTAGGATTTTATGTTATAACTAGACAAACAATCACAAAACTAAATAAGTTCTGTTTGCTTTAGCTTTTTTCACTTTATTCATTCAAATTATATTTGCATAAATTTAGAAGAAAATATGAAAGACATTGAAACAAGTATGGCCTGTCAAATAGATAATTTGGTGAAGAGAATATCTCATTTTAAAAATATTCTTTGTTTAATTCAATTATTCACCTTTAAACTTCTTGGGATTTTTTTCTATCTCAATCTTAATAATTACAACTTCAACAAATTAATGGTTTAGACATACAAAGTAAATACGGAATAGTCAAATTTATGAAGTTTTTACGTCAGATAAAAGTATTCCAAATACAATAATTTGATTTCACGCAACTATTTACAATAAGATGAGACTAAGTTTATATTGCTCTATTTAAAATAGTTTACTTAACATTTAATAACTAAACAACAGTACAAAGTTACAAAAAGATATTCAATAAAAGTATAAAACATAAAGTTTCACTCTTAAACATTTAATATTACACATTATGTGTTTCACTCCTAACTATGGACAATAAATTTGATTAAGGAATTTGCTCGTAAAGTGAAACAGAAAAGAAAGGATCTTACTTCTTGAAAATTTTGAATAGAGCATGAGAAAAATAGAGGGAACAACTTGAACCAAGCATAGGTGATAATAAGGAAAGGAATTCCCCTCCAGAGGGATTTGAACCAAGAACTTTGTAGAAGAGAGCTCTACAAAAGCTTTCCGCACTATGGGCACCCACTGGGACCTCATCATAGTGGGTGCTATTGGTCACTTTATAGACTTTTTAAAATACTAGTCTTAGGGTACGCGCTTTGCGCGTGAATTCATATCAACAAATAAATTATTTTAAATAATAGTATAAATATTATTAAGTAATGAGTACGAGTTATAAAATAAAATTTATTAGAAAAGTATAAGTTATAAGAACTTATTGCAAGAATATCGTACAAAAGATTATAACCTAATACTGAAGACAAACGAATAACACAAAAATACTTTTATCATGATTTTTTAAAGATTTGTCAAATTAAATAAATTATTTTGTTTGGTCTTTTAGAGATTTTTTTTGTTGATAAAAGTCTTTTAGAGATCTGAAAATGAAGAGGTTGATCCTCATAGAAAAAAATTTATTAGTATGACATAAATTCGAAAAATGACTAATGTTGAGTGAATATTTTAAGTAACTTAACATATTAAAAAAAATATAGGAAGATGTAATTTGTTGAGGGGAAAGTTTAATTAATGACAATTCATTTAATTTAGAATATGTTTTATTGTTTGCTATTTCATCCTTATTGCTTCAAGTTTTATTTTTGGTAATTTCACTCTTAATACTATACTATAGTCAATAACTTTCACTGCTAGTGATCTTCTTATTAAAAAAATTAAATAATTAATTTTCAACTTGAAAAATAAATTTACTTGTATGATGAATTTTATAAATAAATTTTTTACTAATTAGTTAATTCAAAGAGTTATATTTTCCCTCAATTTTCATGAAAACAGCTAATAATTTTCTTATGCAATTTTTTAATATTATCTCATTCTTAGTTTTACATATTTAACAACTATTATAATTTTATCAAATAAGAACTCTACTTTCAAAAGGTAAAAAAAGTTAGTCATACATTTCATTTTTGAATTTTTGTAATTTTTGGATTTATAGAATGATTAGTGATGTTGACTCTTGCCAACCACCTTTCTCTCTATCTCTTTTCTTATATTTTTAAATACTTTTTTAGTTATTTATTTTAATTATTGACTGTAGTTTTCAGTATTATGCAAAAAAAAAAAATTATATTTAATAGTAGTACTTATTATAATGTAAAATTAATTTTTTAATACAAAAATATTTTAGGAATAATGTTTGATTGAAGAATAAAATGATCGTTCAAATTTTCGTGGACATTTGGATCTATCAACTGATTATTTTTAGTTCTCTCACTTTTATAATAGTAATAATAATAAATAATGGATAAATTCCTTATTTTATCTCTTTAATTAGTTTTTTTCACCATATTCTCGAAATAGATTGATTAGAATTCCTCTCATAATTTTGTCCTATATGACAATGCCTCCAATTATTTATGTTGATGAGTTAGTGCTTTTTCTGTATGAGAAGATAGAGTTCGTGTTGATGCCTAGATTCAATTGGTCAAATGAAAATTGTTTGTAAAATGATTGTTAACAAATTTATCTACTATAAAATTATTATTTAATGGATTATTTTAGTTATTAATGATAGAAAAAGCAAAAGCAAAAAAGGAGACCATGTTTAGGACAACTAAAATATTATCGAACATGTTAAGGAGAACATATGTTGGGAAAGTTCAGTTAAATTTAATGTTAAAATTTTCTACACAGTTCAAATAAGGAAAGATTTAATAATTAAAAGTTTAGCTAATTTCAAACGCCTAAATATTAGGAAAATAATTTAAATGACAATTTTGTCTAGTGTAAAATCTATTTTTAAGGGATAAAAAAGGCGAACGACATTTCACAAAGAGCCTTCGTGCTTTTAATATAGTATAGATAGATAGATTATTTATGCATACATAAGACAATTTGGCCAAAGTCAATGGGTGCTGAAGCACCCATACCTCCAAAACATAGATCCACCATTGCCCACGGGTTGTCATAATCAATGATCGAGGATCTGGGAACAAAGTCGTAACTATAACTCCTTGTGACATCCCCATATAGTAAATGTAGGAATTGGATAGTGATAGTTTAGGAATTCAGTCAACAACTATTAATATCTCTCTTCAAAGCACCTTTCCTAATAGACATGAATGCACCAGTTATAAAGAAACCTCCAGATGAAAAAAGTTGAACATTTTTTCTAAGAAATTCCAAAAAGAATTAATTTTCTAACAAGCAACAACCAAAAGAAACAACCTAAAATGTGTGGGCAATATGTGTATAGGCATCTGATACTAAACCACTGTCTAATCTCTCAATTTAAGCAGCCGATAGGAGAAAACACTTTTAATACTCACAAGACAAGGCAATACTTAATACATTTTGAATTGAAAGGTTTACTTACAGTAAGAAACACTAACATATTTTGAATTGAAAGGTTTACAGTAAGAAACACTAACATAGCATACAAACCGAAAGATCAGATCAAGATGGAACACTGAAAATGAAATGTGACTTTTTTCCTTCTAAAGTTTCAATTCCAATAATGTCTTATTTTCTTCGTTTTGTCACTTTTTTTAAATAATGAACAAAGGAAACATGCTGCAATCAAAAGGTAAAAGAACACAAAGGAAAACGAAAAAAGATGCATATGCACCGAGAATATCTACATTGCCTTAGAGGTACGGAGTTCATAGAATAAGCAAGATAAAGGGCAATTTCTTTCAAGATGGTAAAGAGTTACCTTATTGATGCTACCGCTACTGATATGTCATCTTTCTCCAGGATCACTGTGTAGAATCCATGATAATTTAATCGTGCAAGTTGTGATCTGTAAAGATTTTAAGGATCAGTCTGACAGCACCACTTAAGTATCATTGTATTGTGTAACATTGATATGAACTAGTCAAATGACACCATGGATACAGGAAAAAAGTTTCCATCTGTTTTGGCTCATTGAATCGATGAAACTCCATCCATTTGTTTGCGTATTGCCATACTCCTTAGAACACAATGCTTCAGATAAAAAAATTCTTATAAAGTTGTTCTCTATCATTTCAATATAAAATATACCTATTATTCATAAATTTATTGTTAAACCTGCCATTTAACCCTTCCATTCAATTATTTTGAATGAGAACTAAATGAACAAGAAACGTTAGGCACAATGCCTCAGCTATCAAGTGCAGGGAGTTCAGCAAAAACCAGTTATAGCTAATTCCACAAACTGCTATAAAAGAAAGTGGAGAAATAAGTGATACACCACACAGGAAAGCACAGCAGCACGCAATAAAAGCTGATGTCAAACGGAAATTACTCACCCCCAGCTGTATATTACATGGGGTATCATATCTATGCCTGTTCTCGGATCCACCATGGGAAGAAAGCACTCCTCCATAATCGTAAGGGCAACTGCTAACTTTGAGTTGCATTCTGCCTTCAAAGCAATAAACCGCTGAGCAGAATGAACTATGTGGTCACCATGAATGCACCTCAAAAGAGTCCATGACAAGCCATCAGTCAGAAGATTAATGAGCCCAATTCGAGAGCGAAGACCTTCATATACCTGCAAAAACCCTAAGTTTTCAAAAGACAACCAAAATAATTCATTATCAAGCTTGCAATGAAGTTAGTATTTATTTCAGCAATACTCGGCATTCCTAGATTTTGTGTTCTCATCAAACACAGCACCGCCTAGAGAACTGATTACTTAAACGAACTATAGATTAACCATGTTACAGTTTCGTAATGTTCCTTTTCTAAAGAAGTTCACATAAGGTTTGTCATATTTTCTGGTTAATCAAAATCTTCGGTCAACGGATTGAATAATATTATTCCATCATGATGCCATTCCTAATGACTCTAATTATGTAACGACCCGACCGGTTGTTTTGAGCAAGTGCACTTCGCTCGATAGTTTACGGGCATAAGTAGCTCCGTATGATGTATTATGACTTATGTGAATCGCCGATTTTGGTTATCAGGTTATTCGGAATTGATTTGGAAGAATGAATTTCATGGTTTAAGTTTTAAGTTGTAAGAGTTGACCAAGTTTGACTTTTTGATATTTGACCTCGGATTGGAGTTTTGATGGTTCTGTTAGCTCCGTTGGGTGATTTTGGACTTAGGAGCGTGTCCGGATTTTGATTTGGAGGTCCGTAGTTGAATTTGGCTTGAAATAGCGAAAGTTGAATTTTTGAAAAGTTTGACCGGGAGTGGACATTTTGATATCGGATTCAGATTGTGGTTCCGGGAATTGGAATAGCTTCGTTATGTCATTCGGGAATTCCGGGTTGGTTTGCTATGTTTCGGCACGAGTTATGAAAGTTGAAAAGTTCAAAGTTCATCAAGTTTGAATTGAGGTGCGATTCGTCGTTTCGATGTTATTATATGTGTTTTGAGGCCTCGAGTGGGTCCGTGTTATGTTATGGGACTTGTTGGTATATTGGACGGGGTCCCGAGGGACTCGGGCGTATTTCGGATTGATTTCGGATCATTTTTCCTTCATGTTTGATTGCTGGTTTTTGCTGTCATCAGATGCCCCTAGTGTTCTTCGCGATCGCGAAGAGTTATTTGGTCTACGGGTGGATTTGTTAACCGCGGACGCGGCAGGTGGTATGCGATCGCAGAAGGTTGGATCAATTGCTTTTCGCGTTCGTGCATGGGGTATCGTGGACGCGTAGGGTTGAGCAGGAACTGGGTGGCTGGAGAATTCTTCATCGCGTTCGCGGAGCCTTAGTACCAGTAGCTATCACGTTCACGTGGCAACGCGTAGTGTATTTTGTTGGCAGTGGCATTTGTTCTTCGCGATGGCAAAGTATGTCCCGCGATCGCGTAGGGTATTTCCGTCCAGTGATTATAAAGTCTATTTCGGAGGTTTAGCCATTTTTACATTTTTGGAGTTATGGAGCTCGGATTGAGGCGATTCTTGAAACAATTTTCACCATATGAACTGGGATAAGTGCTCTACTCATTTTTGATTTTATATCATGAATCTATCTTCGTTTTCGGCATCTGATTGAGGGTTCCAAAAGAGAAAAATTGGGGGTTTTAGCCTAAAGTTTCATAATGTGAATTTTTGAGTTTTGAACATCGATTCGGGGTCGGATTTGAGTGAAACTAGTACGGTTGGACTCGTAATTGAATGGGTTGTCGGATTTTGTGAGTTATGTCAAGTTCCAAGGTACGGGCCCGGGTTGGACTTTTTGGATATTTTGGGCTTTTGATTAAAGATTCAACATTTATCGATGGGTTTGTTTCCTTTGACATTATTTGATGTATCTGAGTTGCTTTTGGCTAGTTTTGAGTCGTTCGGAGGTTGGTATGCACGAGATGGCATTTTTGGAGCATCGCTTGGCTTGCTCGGTATTGGAATTGGCTTGTTCGAGATAAGTAACACTTCTAAACTTAGTGTTGAGGGTATGAAACCCCGAATTACGTGTTATGTGATTGGTATTGAGGTGACGCACATGCTAGGTGACGGACGTGCACCATGTGAATTGTGACTCCGTTATTACTGTGGTACTATGTAGTTACATGATCTTACTTGTAACCATGAAATTTCTACGTACTTGAGCTATTGAGCTGTGATCCATGCTAGAATCCATGACTAGGCTACACGCTTATCCAACACTGTTGAGCTATCTGCTTTCATTGCATTACATACTCAGTCATACGCATTCACATGCATATCATATCTCAGCCTCTGTTATTATTTATTGATACATCACATCATTATTTTTGGACTGATATTTCATGACATTAAGAGTCCGAGAGACTGGAGAGATTGATGACTGAGTGAGGCCGAGGGCCTGATTGTGAGGATATTGACACTATACCACGTGAGTTGTCCGTGCGTATTTGGATAATGATATTATAGCACGTGAGTTGTCCGTACAGCACATGAGTTGTCCGTGCAGATTATAGCGTTTGGGCTAAAGGAGCCCCTCCGGAGTCTGTACACACGCCTAGTGAGCGCATGTACCTAGTGAGTGCGAGTGCCGAGTGATTGGGAGGAATGGCTCTGAGGACTGAGAGGACTGAGTGAATTGATACTCTATGAGTATGCATATGGTTTTATCGCTGAGTCGCATCGCATTTGGCATGCACAGATGACATACAGGCATAGAGACGCATTTTACTCATGCTGTACGGTATCACGTCATTCATGACTTCTCACACATTGATATATGGGCATAGAGAGGTATTTCACACTTGCTACCTGGAAAGAAAATGAAACATCTTATTTATTGTGGAAAGGATTTTTGGAAAAAATGTATAGTTTTGTAACTTATTCATATTTTCGACGATTTCGGTAAAGGATTTGGGTTTTCACTGATATACTTGAAAAGCGAAACTATTTTTCAGGAAATTATGAAAAAGCGGAGCATTTTATCTCCGAGTTACTTCTTTTATTACTTGCTCTACATTCCTATGAATTGTTGTTGGCTATTGGATGTTGGACCCGACCTTTATTCCAGCTCGTCACTACTTTCAACATAAGGTTAGGTTTGTTACTTTTGAGTAGATGGGGTCAATTGTACTCATACTACACTTCTGCACCTTGCGTGCAGATGTTGGCTGTTGATGTTGCTGTGTTCGACCGGAGCCGGATTTGAAGACGTACCTGCGTTCCGGTTGTAGCTGCCTCTTGTTCATGGTAGCCTTAGATTCATAAAACTCTATTTATGTACTTTTCGAACATATGATGTATTTATTTCATACCCGCTTTGTTAATTTTATTCTTAGAAGCTCATGATTTGTACTACCGGTCCTTGGGAAATGTATAAGATTCAGTTAACTTCTCTATTTAATTGTTTTATTGATTTCATTGGAATTGGATAGTTGTCAGTTGGCTTACCTAGCGGGTTTGGGTTAGGTGCCATTACGACTAGTTGGATTTTGGGTCGCGACAGAATACAGAATAACAGTGAGGCCACATTCAAAGCATTTTGCTAATGCATACTGAAAAACTTTCGGACACTAGGAGAACTGCAAAAACATGAATATGATACAAGTATTTCAGAACCTCAGGGAAACCATCAAAGAAGAGAAGACTTAACTGGGTGAAGTTCTTTCATGATAAAATTAAATTCACTTATCAAAGAAAAGATCTAGCAGGTGAACTTAATCCAAGGCTAGACTTGTAACTGATGTTTCAAAGCCACAGAATAGTACTCTGGCAGTAAACAAACACAGGTTTTCTAATATTACTGTACATGGTGCAAGAATTCCTGTTCTTAGTTTAGCTGTTACTTCTGTGTAGAGTATAGACTGACTTAGATGATACATTAACAAAATAACAGTAATATCACATTCTCCGCCAAGTCATATCGCATGCAAAAGGAACTAATAACCATCAGATAGCATTTCAAAACTCCACATTAAAACCTTCAAAGAGACAAAAACATGAAAAGTTGATTCATTTGATGTACGCTAATTGCATTCAGGACCTATATCACTGAGCAAGCTTGTTTTATAATAGCAGATGTAAAGCTGAGGTGTCGAGCTAACCTCCTGACAGCTTTCACTGCAGAACCAAGTATCAGAGGCCTCTCCACCTTTTGTAACCCTTAGCATACTGCATGCTTCATGATCTGTTCACAAATCATCAAGGCATTTAGTGACAGAAAAAAACAAGGAATNAAAAAGACCAATCAAGTCAAGTTCATGGGAGTACGCACATTTATGCTCACACTGTGAACATTTTAATGCACTGGAGGATCTCAATGCTTCACTATATTTAACCACGTCCCCACATTTCCGGCAAGTGCACTGTGGACAGTACCAACTCCCTTCAGGAAGTTCCTGAAACAAGAAATGATAAAGTTAAATCAATTAGAATCTATATCTCTTGTCCAGTATCTTCAAACAAAATGAAGTACTCAATGTATGATACGTAACAAAATCAAAGGAAAACCAGGCCATATGAATGGATATGATATTTTAGAAGGAATATAGTAAATGCATGCCTTGTGCAAATACAGAAACCACAACAACATCGGTAATTGAATATAGCACCCAAAGGTGTGACCTAGTGGTCAATGAAGTGGGTTGAAAATCATGAAGTCTCAAGTTCAAAACTCAACTGAGACAAAAAACACTAGGTTGATTCTTCTCATTTATTCAAGCCTTGGTGGACAGAGTTACCTGGTACCTGTTACTGGTGGAGATAGCAGGTATCTCGTAGAATTAGTCAAGGTACGCGCAAGCTGGCCCGGACACCACCGTCATGAAAAAAATGAATATAACATAGGCTTGTAGAGAAGAACATGGTACGATTTACGAGAATTGAAAAAAAAAAAAGCAAGAAGAACAATGTAAAACAAATAATCAAGCAGAAAAGTCAAAACAAGTTTAGTAAAACAAACAATCAAGCAGAAAAGACAATACAAATTATCTGAATCAGAACATCAAATCACTACCATCGATTTCACCAAAACCAGTTCAAAAGCAATCGAGCATTACGGGCATAAAAAAGTACCGCAGCAACGTGAATAATACACTAATCATCTTAGATACTAGCCAGTAAGAAAAAAGAGGGTTAACTGATTTCACAGAAACGATCATATACTGGGACCTGGAAGACATGGTGATATAGGTCCATTATTTTTTGTTTGATTCAATTTATAACAGAGATTTCTTTTCTTTTCCTTTTTTTTTTTTTTGACAAGGAATGGAGATGGTCTTCTATATGATAAAGTATAAGATAAGCAAAATCATACTAGCCAAAGTATCGTTTACCTATAGCAACAAACAAGTTAAGCCGTCTTCCTTGAAGTTTAAGGCCTATATATAGGCCAAGAGTGGATCCACACATTATGCCAGCTAACTTTTTATGCTCGCTCTACGAGACTGATTTTGATTTTAACTAGTTCATAATTACCACCATTATGACAGAATATGTGATTGTTAGTTTTAACAAAATGACTTGATTTTTCTTGATCATTAAGATAGTGACTTTTGCTAAAGATCAACAAAGTGATTTATGTCACAACCAAAAGTTAAATACAGTCACAATTAGGAATTAAGAGACGTACCAAAAAGCTGGACAAAGATAATTCAGTTGGACTTCAAACATGGTAATATGTCAACCAACTGAGAAGTCAATAAATTAAGCATAAGTAAAGACTCATGCAAAAAAGGGCTTCCACCCTCTTTAGTTCTCCATTTGAAACAGGCAAACAGCATCAAAACTTCTTGAAATCCAAAAAATCAAAAGAAACTCTTAAATAAACTGAATTTGCATCAATATGCCCAAACTAACAAGTGCAGCAGTTCATATGGTGGAAAAAAAACTAATCCCCAAATGACTAGGTAAAGTACCAATAGAATAGGAAAACATGTGAAATAAGATATTTGGCCCAAAAGTGGCTGAAACAACAGAATATGGGTCAGAAAACAACCTCAATCAGGAAAACCTAGATTATTACTATATAGGGCTTGAAGACACAATTTTGGAAAATCTTAAAAGACCGAATGTTGAGGATGAAAGTAGCTGAAATGAGGATATTGAGGTGGATGTGCGGGGACACCAAGATGGATAAGATTAGGAATGAAGTTATTCGGGAGAAGGTGGGTGTCGCCCCCATGGATGACAAGTTGCGGGAAGCAAGGCTCAGATGGTTCGGGCACGTCTAGAGGAGAAGCCCAGATGCGCCAGTGAGGAGGTGTGAGCGGCTGGCTTTGGTGGGCATGAGGAGAGGTAGAGTGCGGCCTAAGAAGTATTGGAGAGAGGTGATCAGACATGACATGGTGAGGCTTCAGATTACCGAGGACATGGCCCTAGACAGGAAGTTGTGGAGATCGAGCATTAAGGTTGTAGGTTAGGAGGTAGTTGAGAATATCTCTATGGCGCCGCAGAGTGAGGCTAGTCTGTTAGGACTTGATCTTTGACCGTTAGTATTTATGTTGATTTCACACTACTTTTTCGTTCCTCTTTGATGTGCTTTATCTACTAGTTATTGTTTTGCTTTTCATTTATTTTCTGGTTCTGGTGATGTTGTTCTTTATTCTATGGTTTCTATTGAAGGTACTGATAGATTGCCTCTTTTCGTCTTCTTTTTGTCTTCTTGAGCTGAGGGTCTTTCGGAAACAGCCTCTCTACCCCTCGGGGTAGGGGGGTAAGGTATGCGTACACACTACGCTCCCCAGACCCCACTAGTGGGATTTCACTAGGTCGTTGTTGTTGTTGTTGTCTTAAAAGACCGAAATGTAGAACACAAGCTTTGGCATTTGAAAACTTGTCAGATTCTTAAAAAGAGGCCAACATAAGTCTTGAAGTCCCAATTGACACCGAACATGTTAAACTTCATTGATTGCCAAAGAACGGCAGATCAATAATCCATCAGATCACGGCTACCAGGACCACTTTCAACAGTTTTTTAAAAAGCTAGCAAAAAAAAAACATGGAGAAGAATTTTGTTAAAGATTTAGTAGTTCTAGTTTTGGGCTTCCGCACTCTTCTGAAATGCATATCATACTGCTTCACCTTCAACAGATAAATGGCAACTTTGAGAGGTCAATTACTGTCTTCTTCAAAATAAACTTAACCACCACTCTACGTTGGTCACTGAGGGTGTCTAAGGAACCTGTTGCTACATATGGGATAGCCTATTTAGAAAGTTGATGCTGGTTGTTCACCAGCACTCTGATGATAAAACACAACCGAATTTTTCAAGAATAAGACAGATCGAAAACTGTTTCAGGCAAGTATAGTTTCTTCCTAGGGAAAAATACTTTCATAATATAATGTCAGCTAAACCATATATGAAACGCATGCATAAAGCATAAGGACGGGTCTTTGACATTTTACAATTTACAAACGGGTTAAACATAAATGTTGATCAAGAAAAGAATGCACTCAAGGCAAGATAAAAATACCAAACTGGCTAGAGATAGTAAACCAAGTGAAAAGGGTCAAAAGACAAACCGGTGTGAACAAACAAGCTAGATGAAAGGTAGCTGGACAATTATCACAACATAT